AAAGTGGGAAAAGGCAATTGAAGACCAGGATGTCTAGAGTATGATTTAGTGATTACATCATATTTTGAAAATGAAGATCTTACTCTCAAGGTTGTGGAGAAAAGCCTTGTAGTCCGAAGATGCAAATGAAAGCCAGAAAAGATGTAGTGCATAGTATAATATCATCTCAAAAGCATACAAAATTAGTGATATCCTTCCCAGTACCTCAACATTACTAAGAACTGCTAACAAGACATATAACGTGACAATGTATTAACTAAATAAAATTTATTTTATTCCTTTTTTTCTCATTCCCACATGGTGGACAGTAAAAATAAAATCTGAGCAGAAGTCTCTTGCTAGATATTCCAAGCATGTTAATTTCTTTTCTTACACGCTTATATCCCAACCCTTTCTATTAAATGTAAATGAAACCAACAAAACTTGTGCAGCAAAAGGTGCAAATGCAGTATTCTTATGAATATTGTGACAGTCTAAAAAAAAAGTCGAATAACACATGAAGACATTTACCTCCTCTGGCAAATCTTTCCAGTGCAGAGCAGAACTGACTCCATTTCTCTTTATGGAAACTTAAGTTCATTAAATTCTGGCAGGTAAAAACATAGATGGCTGATGGCTGTATGACATGTGAGAGCATAGAGTAGAATGAAGTCCAAAACACTTAAGTAAGGAGGAATATGATTTGTACAATTCCCCATCAAAACTTATTATTTCCACGCTTCTTCTTTGTCTTTCTTTTTTCCCCTAAAGAATATTCTCAGAAAACTGTGAAGAATAACCCAGAAACACTCTTTTTTTCTGGACTTTCCTTGATTAAGCGGGTTTTGAAGTGACATGTCATGATCCCATTAAGGTTGTGCTGTTTGGTGAGTACATTCTGCATAGGTGGAGTAAGACAGAGTTAAATCTTCACTGTGTTCTTGTAGTAGACATCATCCGGAACATGTTTTCATGCCACTCTTCTCTATCTTAGCAAAACATAACTTTTTAACGACATATCTTGTTCTTTCAGGGATAGTTAATGCTTTGGTTACAAGGGAATAAACTCTTCCTTGAAATATTTGTTTCCAATATAGCTTTACTCCTTTAAGAAAAAATCACCTTAAAAGGAGGGATAGGTTCCTTCTTACTAGTAAATAGTCACTTTAGTATTGGTTAGGTCTTAATGGAAAGAAGGGCTGCATTAAAAAAGGGATGGCCAGCAGGGAGAGAGAGGTGGTAGTCTTCCTGTACTCAGCTCTTGTGAGGCCCCATCTGGAGTACTGCATCCAGGTAGGGCCCCCACCACAACAAATATGCAGAGCTCTTGTATTGGGTCCAGAGGAGGGCCTCTAAGACGATCAGTGGGCTGGAACACCTCTCCTATGAGGAAAGGTTGAGGAAATTGGGATTGTTTAGCTGGAGAAGAGAAGGCTCTGAGGAGACCTCACTGTGCAGATAAAAAGGAGGGGGAATGACTGTTTACAGGGATGGATAGTGATAGAACAAGGGGCAGATGGTTTTCAACTAAGACAAAGGAAATTTAGTTTAGATATTAGGAGGAAGCTTACAGACCTTCTTTACTGCACAGAGGCATGAAACTACCATTTTCATGTTCCAGTAGATAAGATGGCTTAGTGGCCTCACAGTAAGGCTCATTCTTACACAATCAAGAAATATGTATCTTTTTTGCAAGTCCCTTCGTGTTCTTCAGACTTCAGCAAAATGGACAGAGACTGCCCGCCATTCCCAGGAATGCAGAGGGAAGCAGACTCTTCTCCCACAAAGTAGAAGCTGATATCTTGCCACTCTCTGCCACACATGCCTATGCACATACATGTATATATATATATGCATGTAAGGAGGGTCTGGAATCCAGGTTCCACTTGTTCTGAAAAGAAGCTGAATGACTGAAGTGTGGGCAAAAGTCCATTTTCTCCCTTGTGATCTCTTCTGAGAATACATGACAACCGCATCTCAAGCAGACCGGGATGCCTGACACTGAGAAGATTAAAGGTCTGTTTTATTAAAATCAAATTCTGTGTCTAGCTTCTACCTGCAATAGTTTACATGTGCACAGTGCCCCTAAAGCCAAAGAATTCTGTGCTTCTGTACAAACATGAGAACCATTGCACAAGCAATACAGTTAAATATGTATTTAGAGAAAACAAAATCTAACTTAAAAAACAAAGCAGCGCAGCAAGGTATTTCTTACGTGTGCAGTTCTTTGGCATGTGAAAATGGTTTCATCCTCCATACTTGCTTTAGGATAAATTCTGCCTGTGTAAGCATAATATCTGGAGACTATTTCTTCAATACACAAAGAATAGAGAGCAAACACAACGATATGGAGCCAGATGAGCCAACATTTATTTGCTGTTGATTAGCTATGAATTATGACTGTCACAATGGCATTCCACCCAAAAGAAAAGATAAAAAGAATCTGCATTTCATGGAACAAGTTAGGAAATGATTTGCATGAATGAATGAAGTCTGCAATAACTGCTGTAAAGTAGTTCAAAACTACTCTACCAATGTGATCATTTACTCCTGAATGTTATGTAACATAAGCTTTCAATCTCTTTTCTTCAACAGCCAAAAGAATTAAAGGAGATGATTCATTTTGTCAGCCCTGAATGTATGGAAGGGCCAAGGCATGTTCATGCACGACGACTATCTTACAGCTTGCAATTGAGAAGAACTTAACATTCTGCAACTCTCAGATGTTGTTTTCATTCATTAAATAAGGATTCCCCACTGCAGTCTTTAAGGATCGTAAAGATGAAAATAGCGGAGAGATACTTTCAGTGACTATCACTCATAGTTAATTTGTAATTGCTTGAATGTTTTGGATAGAAACATAAACCTGCTTGTACTGGATGCAAAGAAATTCATGAAATATATTTATGAAAAGATTGACAGCAAGAAAATACTGGTGATGTCCATGGAAATACTGATGCGTGTTAAAGGAAATAATATTTCCCTAACCCACCTAAAAATATAACTTCATTCTTTCTTCTTCGTATGCTTCTCTTTATTTCCATGCAAAGATGGTGCTTCTCCAACAACCCAAATAGTGAGCAGGAGCGCTGAGCAGCTCCACAGACATGCTTTGTCATGGCCCAGATCTAAATGCTCTCTCAAGTGATTCCCAGGCAGAACTTAGGAGTCACAGTGTTGCAGAAGCCATTTGCAGGAGGCAGTTTGCTGATAGAAACCTCATTTTTCATATCACAAAGGAGGCTGTGCATTTAATTTGCTGCTGTTCATTCTGTACACAGACAATAGCAAAGCCAGCAACTTGTTCAAGCACTTCAAATCTTCCAAAACTGATTTTCTGACTCTCCTGCTTTCTACTGGCTGGCTGTATAGGGAACGCTGGTGCTTAACTTGGATGCCCAAACTCTGTTGACACCTCTGGAGTAGTCACTAACTGTGACTTCAGTGACTAAAGAAGGTGGTCAGAATCTAGACTTTGATCTGAGGCCTATCGTAGTATAACCTTAAGCCTCTATGTTCTGACTCACTCATTTATTATTTCCTTGCCATGTGTGATAGATAGGCAGAGGACATTTTTGTGTACTGCATTGGGAATTTGCTTCTCTCTTGAAAAACTGACAAGTTCACAATTATATAATAACATAAAAAAGCAAAACTTACAGATATGATGAAATTATGACAAAATGATTAATAAATGATGATAAATAAAATGGTAAAATAATGATTAAAAGCTTTGAGAAATACGTGCCATAAAATGCACGGGAACAGTAAATTCCTAAACAACAATAGCAACCAAAAACCCATTATCTCCTCAAGCACTAATATTATTCTAAACAACTTAAAAGTAGTAATAACAACATACTCAAGAAAGCCAAAATCGCACTTAGGTGAATTAGGCATTTATACCACCTTCATGCACAGGATGCAAGCACATAGCGATCCCTGAAAATCTCAGTCTCTGAAACAATTTTCTTGGAAACTGACAGAAAATTAAAATGACCCATGTGGAATGGCCTAAGTGCATGTTGGCATCAAAAGAGTATGGCCAGCACGTAGAGGGAAGTGATCCTCCCCCCCTACTCTGGTGGCACTGGTGAGGCCACATTTACACTTCTGTGTCCAGTTCTGGGCACCTCAATTAAGTTAAAAGACAGGGACCTCCTAGAAGGAGTCCCGCAGGGGACGACCACAAGGATGATTGAGGGCCTCCCACGTGAGGAAAGGCTGAGTAACCGCGGTCTGTTCAGCCAGGGGAAAAGGACACTGAGAGGGGATCTGGTAAATATTTATCAATATCTAAAGGAACGTGGGAGGCAAATGGGTGAGGCCAGGCTCTTCTAATTGGTGTGTAGCAATAGCACAAGGAGTAATAGCCTAAAACCTGTACATAGGAAGTTTCGTACTAACATGCAGAAGAACTTCTTTATGGTAAGGGTGATGGAGCACTGGAACAGGTTGCCTGGAGAGATTGTGGGGTCTCCTTCTCTGGAGACATTTTTCAAAACCTGCCAGGATGCATTTCTGTGTGACCTAATCTAGGAGTTTCTGCTAAGGCAGGGGATTGGACTAGATGAGCTTCCCAGGTTCCTTCCAATCCCTGTCATTCGGTGATTCTGTGATTCTGTAATTGGTATGGAGAAGAGATAGCAGCTAGATATGAAGACTTAGTAAAAAAATACTCTTTTCACATCTTAGCCAGGATTCTGGCATTTATTTATTTTTAATAAATGATACAATTTTTTTTTTTTAGCTCCTCTTCTCTTCTCTTCTCTTCTCTTCTCTTCTCTTCTCTTCTCTTCTCTTCTCTTCTCTTCTCTTCTCTTCTCTTCTCTTCTCTTCTCTTCTCTTCTCTTCTCTTCTCTTCTCTTCTCCTTTCCCCTCCTTCCCTTTTTCCTTCCCTTTTTCCTTCCCTCCTCTTTCCCTCCCCTTTCCCCCCCCTTTCCCTCTCCTCTCCTCTCCTCTCCTCTCCTCTCCTCTCCTCTCCTCTCCTCTCCTCTCCTCTTTTCCTTTTTTTCCTTTTCCTTTTCCTTTTCCTTTTCCTTTTCCTTTTCCTTTTCCTTTTCCTTTTCCTTCCTTTTTCTTCTACTGGCTCCACCGTTGAAGGCAAAACTCTCTTATTCTCCTCCACGTCTCACTAGAAAATGGAGAGTCTCAAGTTGTTACTGAGTAATTTTGACAGACTTTCAGAGGAAAAAAGAAAAGCTGCCTCCTCCCTGGATCCCTCTGGCAGAGGCAAGCTACAACTGTGACTTCAGCAACAGCAAAGGCAGGAGTGCCAGTACCTGTCTGTGGGCCCAAGCAGCCGAGAGAAGTTGTCAATCATGAACTCCTTGTGACTGCGGGTCAGGATGACCACTGCCTGGCACAGGAAGGGCACAAACGTGCTCTGCTGCGCAGACGATGTGCAGCTGCGCAGGATGTAGAGAATCGGTGGCACCTTAAAGAAGAAGGGAAGAAAGAATGACTTGCTGCATCCTGGGCTCTACAGAGCCTAACCATGGACATTCAGCGCATGAGCAGTGCCTGCTCCCTTGACATGCTGTCAAGGCCTAAGCCTAAATTTCATTCCAGCCACCCTGTCCAAGCCCTGCCTCTGCACTCAGGCTGTGCTTCTTTAGCACAAGAAGCAAACGGCACAAGGCATACTGCAACAGCCAGAAAAAGTCCAAGACACATGGAAGAAAGTCTCTTACGTTGCAACAGATGTCCTTCCCATGCATCTGCAGAAAGGTGGTCATCCACTTCCCAGCAGCACGCACACGCACTCCTTTGGCTTTCCGGAAGGTCTCCTTAATAGCCGTCATGAAGTCAACAGTGCGTTCGAGGGGGAGGTTTCTGCACACGATCTGCAGAGAAATGAGAAGATCCCATCACTGCTCTGCGGCAGCCGTTCAAAACATAAAGCGGACTTGAGGGCATTCTTAGTTCAGTGGCTTGCCGGTCATTCAGGCGGCAACCACAACGCTCCTGCTGTCTGTACCCTGCTGTTTATACGGAAGGCGGTTGAGCCTTCTCTCAGCTTCTGCACCCATGGTGTTTGCTTACATGCAAAGCCTACCTCCCAGCAGCCACAGCCACACATGCATGCAAGTGCACACACACACACAAATGCACATCATGGAGTCAGCTCCTTGTACTGGGCGCCTGAAGGTCAGACATAGCTCAGAACCTCCTGCTACTTGCTGAGAAAAGCAGTCTCAGGGTGACAGCTCATTTCGGAAATGGTGTGAGAGGCTGGGGGCAGCATAGGGTCATGCAGAATTCTACTCTCAGAGATCCTACCACCCCTTTTTGGGTCCACTTACTCTTGCCATTTTGGACGTGGTCTGGAGCTGAGAGACGACACTGCAGGCATGCAGCCTCTCACACAGGCTCCTGATGTCACCCGTCTCGATTACTCTGTTGGTCGCTTTGGCTGGAAAGAGCACAGGGAGAAAAGGGAAGTCATGCTTCTGGAAATGGAACTGCTTTCCATGGGGGAGAGACAGAGGACAGGGTGGGGACAAGAAGAGAACTGCGCACAGTGCCTCTCCCTCCTGTAAACAGGGCCCAGCCTGTGGGGCTCTGGTAGTGCTGCGGAGGAGAGCAGAGGGCTGGAGCACACCTGCTCTACTCACCTTGGATTTGGAGAAGGGAGCTTAGACAGGTGACGGCCAGCTGGCGGGATGTGGGCATGAGGTCACAAGTCAGAGGCGCCAGCAATCCCACCAAGGAGCCAAAGTGCTCACAGACATCTCTTCTCTACAGGGGTGAGAGGCAGGAACAAAGCTGTAGACAGCCCCAGCTCTTCCCCCATCCGTGCCTTCCCCACACCATGACACAGCATGCACTGTTGGGTGGAGCTCGCCTTCCAGCTCAGGGGCACTGGGGAGGGAGCAGGGGGCATGCAATGGGGCTCTTTACTCACTTGAAGTTCTTCACAAACAGCCAGCAGCTGGGAGCAGGTCTGCAGGGCCCTCTTGCGCTCCCACACGTTCTTTGATATCATAGATCTCTGCAGGACCTGGGGTAGAGCATCTGTCTCACTGAGGATATCTTTTCTTTCCCTTCTTGCCACCCCTCTCCCTGTCCCTCCTTTCCCAGCACTTTCCCTCAAGGCCTGCCCTGTAGCTCCATGTGGCCTCCCGCCTCACTGAGCACTGGCACTGCTGCTCCTGCTCTCTGCAGACACTCCTGCCTCCTAACCCAGGAGCTTTTCCTTAGCTGTGGCCTGCCAGGGGCTGGCTCCTGCCTTCCCCCCTGCAGGGCCCATTTCTCTGCCCATTTCTGAACTCGCTATGAGCTGGCACGTCAGCAGGAGATTTCTCCCCCTCTGATTGTCCTCTCAGTCCCCAGATCTCTGCCCCCACTATTGACAGGCACCATGCTTTCTCCTTTGCCCCACACATACTCACATGGACTATGTTTTGGAAGAAGCCGCCGGTGGGCTCTGTCTCAAGCAGAACCGCCATGAGCCGGCCCAGAGCTTTCAGTGATCTTTGCTGAAGCTGAAAGCAGAAGAGGGGATTGAGGTGTAGCATCACGGCTGCTGCCAGAGCATAGGTTGTGTGTACTGAGGTAGGGTTTGAATGAGAGGTGGCCGGGAAAGTTACGGCAGGTTACCTGCAGGTACTGCGCTGCTTGCTGTGACTTCCTGATCTTTACCATCACCTCTGCTGAAGGGTGTGTCACAACGTTTTTGCAGCACAGGACCAACATCTCACGCATGTCCTTGCTTTCGAATGAGGGCTTCAGCTTGCTGACAGGAGGAAAAAAGGAAGAGAAAGCAGAAAGGCCATTTACCAGTGCTCCAGACTGGTTCAGACAACATCTGAGTTTCTCCTAACCAACAGCTACAAAGCCAATACTCCCAGCTCATGCTGCTGAGCACTGTCTTCAGTTCCAGCAGCGCCTGCCTCCTACCCGGCAGCAGTGAACCACCTCCTGCTGTGAAGGGAAGGACACCCCGGCTCTCCCTTCTCTTCCCTGCCAGGGGACAGGAACACCAGGGCCTTTCTGCCTGCCCCGAACCTCAGCTTCGCCACACACAACAGCCCAGCCATCTCTCCTGTAGATGCAGCTCCTCACCCCCTGCCCCCTCCAGGCCTTCAGGAGCTACCCAAAATGGGGACCACCATCCTGCCTTGCAACCCCAGACCTTACCTCAACTGCTCCAGGGCCAGAACCACCTTGAAGGGCACCGGGGAGACAGGGATGCCCGAGTAATACTTCTTCAGCAAGTCCTGCAAGTCCCAGAGAGACACTGTCAAGGCGGGCACGAGGCATACGAGAACTGTTCCACCCGGTCCCAAGACTGCCACACACTGGCCCCATCACTCCCACAATTCCCATGGAAGCACTGCAGGATGCAGCGGCTCCACAGCTGGTGCACCTAGTGCACCTAGCCCACTGCCCAGCCGCTGCCTGCCAGCACCCAAGGTCCCCACCAGCTGGAGACATGTAGCTGATGGAGACCTGGATGCCCCCAGGGAAGCGAGCCTCGTGGCACAGCCCAGAACTCCTCTGCAGACAGCCCTGTCTCTAGGTACTCACCATCAAGATCTCCAGCAGCTTGCTCTTCAAGGAGGGGTTAAAACAGGAGTCACCCACAGCCTGGAAGGCAGAGCTGAAGTTGGTGATGCTCTGCACCAGCGCAAGGTTGTTCTGCAAGTCCTGAAGCCCAAGAGAGAAGAAACATTCTTTGAACTGCAGGAAGGGACAAGGGCTGCAAGGGGGACATTTGGGGGCAACACTAAGGAAAGGGCTTGGATCTTCATCTGGGCACAAACCATTCCCCAAGGGACCTTTGGAAAGGGAAGGCCTATCTCAGCATCCCCCCATGTGGATGGGCTGCAGCTGGGTGCTCAGGCACCCTGGCACACTTTGAGCTCTCACCCGGCAGCTGCAGCTGTACAGCATCAGGATGTTGCCCACGATGTCTCCCTCTAGGTGGGCAAGCAGCTGTTCCTTCGTGGCACACAGTGCCAAACTGCCGTGGGCGAGCATGAGAGCGCTGCG